AAGCACCATTTAATTACAATTTTTTTTTTCTGGTGCATATCATCCAGAGTTAAAAACCACTGTGACTTTTAGAAATTAAGCTCACAGCACAAATCAAGAAAACATAAAAGTTTGTATTCTTTTTTCTTTTTTTTTTTTTTCCCAAAAGATGACCGGTAAGGGGATCTTAACCTTTGACTTGGTGTTGTCAGCACCACGCTCTCCCGGTGAGCCAACCGGCCATCCCTATGTGGGATCCGAACCCGGGGCCTTGGTGTTATCAGCACCGCACTCTACCGAGTGAGCCATGGGCCGGCCCATGTATTCTTTAATCTAGCAATTCTACTTTAGGAAACTACTCTGAAGAAATAATCAGAAAATGGACAAAGATTAGTTCACAAGGATGTTAACTGCAACATTAATTTTTATTTTTTTACTTTTTTCCCTCTAGTGCATCTTCATTATAAAATGCTATGAAAAGTAGGCTGGCCAGTTAGCTCAGTCAGTTAGAGTATGGTACTTGCTTTGTGCCGTGGCAGTATCGTAGCTAATGAGGTTTATCGGAGGCACAATTATTGTTTATTGATAACACCAAGGTCCAGGGTTCAATCCCTGTACAAGCCAGCCGCCAAAAAAAAAGATTAGTAATGGGCTGGCCCGTGGCTCACTCGGTAGAGTGCGGTGCTGATAACACCAAGGCCACGGGTTCGGATCCCATATAGGGATGGCCGGTTGGCTCACTGGGAGAGCGTGGTGCTGACAACACCAAGTCAAGGGTTAAGATCCCCTTACCGGTCATCTTTTGGGAAAAAAAAAAAAAAGGAAAATGGCATAGAAAAAAAGTATCGAAAGGCAACCTTCCAAATTAGGAACAGTGGTTGCCTCTGGGGAGGATTATGGCTGACTTTTTCTGCTTCTTTTCACTCTTTAAATTCTCTACAAGAAGTACATATTATTTTGATAATAGAGTGGGGGAAGTAACAGCTTAAAGAAGAACGGAGAGAAAACAGAGTATGACACAAAAATGGGATGTCAGTGATAGGCCCCATAGGAGCAGAGAAAAGCTCCTGGCTCGTGGCATCTCCCCGACCTTCTGGGATGGCCAGAGACGGGGGCAAAGAACACCTTCACCTCTTGATGCTACAGAGATTTTTCTGGGCGGCTTTCATTCCTTTTCTTGCATTCTATTTCTTCCACTCTGACTTCCTGGCCTGTCATGACAGCCCCATCCTCTCTGAGCCTTGGTTTTCTCATCTATGAAAGAGCAATAATAAGACTCAGATTAAGGGCTGATGGGCAGATTCAAAAAGCAAATCACCTTGCATCAGGCCTAGCACGTGGTAGGCCTTCAGACAGGAGTGGCTTCTCTCCCGTCTCTCTTGCTTCCTCCTGGGGACCATCTCTTCACTGTCCTTCTCTCTGACTTGGCACCACGTGGCAGGTCAACTCTGAGGTCAATCACATCTGTTTCCTAAGAGTCTTTGAATTTGTGGGTTGATTTGGAAGAAATGTTAACCCCAGTGAGGCACCCTGTTGAGCCACAACCCAGGCCCGTTCCTAATTCCTAACTAAATCATCCAAGAGACTGCCCCAACTCAGGACCCAGAGTGAAACAGGGTTGTGAAGCCACGGCTTACCCTTCTGCTGCTCGAGCTCCCCGAGGACAACATACAGGGAGCCCACCTGGGCTTGGAACGGCTCCACCAGCTTGGTACAGACAAGAACCTGGTGCTGGTCAGATCTGTGCAGAGCCGTCAGGGTCACTCTGGACTGGGTCATGTCATAGAGGCACAACCTGGAGGGTGAGAGGTGAGATCATTTCTATCTATACACAGAATGACTACAAACCCAAAAAGTCTTGGGAGGCCTATAAATCCATGGAAAGGTGTTTAGCCTCAATCTGATCACAGAAGTAAAGATGCCAGCAACAAATCAGAAAAAATTTTTCTAGTTAACTTTGTAGACTGGGAAGGAATTTTCTTTTAATCTTTTCGGGGCCAGCCCGTGGCTCACTCGGGAGAGTGTGGGGCTAATAACACCAAGGCCACGGGTTCGGATCCCATATAGGGATGGCCGATTAGCTCACTGGGTGAGCGTGGTGCTGACAACACCAAGTCAAGGGTTAAGATCCCCTTACCGGTCATCTTTAAAAAAAATAATAATAATAATAAATAAATAAATTTATTTCCTTTGCCTTTAATTATATTAATGATATCTTTTGATGAGCAGAAGATGTTAATTTTGTTGATGTCTAATAAAAATATTCATTTTTTTCTTTTATGGTTTTTGTTTTCTGTGGTTGTTTTTTTTGGCAGCTGGCTGGTACAGGGATCAAACCCTGGACTTTTGTGTTATGAGCATCACACTCTAACCACCTGAACTAATCAGCCAGCCTTCTGCATCTTATCTAAGAAATTTTTGCCTATCTTAAGATCATGAAGATATTCTGTTTACTTCTAGACATTTTATAGTTTGGGCTTGTAGGTTTATGATCTGGTGCAAATTATTATTGTTTTATATGTCATTAGGCAGGGATCAAGGTGTTTTCCCCCCATAAGAATATCCAGTAGTTCCAGCACCATTGTTGGAACGACTATCCTTTCCCCAATAAATTACATTGATGTCATTGTTGAAAGTCAATAGAATAATGGCTAAATAAATCATGAAGTTTAATTTCATAATGAAATAAAATGGACCTATTAAAAGGGATGATACATATTTAGCATGGTACTAGGTCCACCATACACAGTTAAATAAGAAAATAGTATGATATAGTAACACAATAGGATCTCATGTGGGTTAAAACATTTCTATAGTATGTACATATATATCTCCAAGATGGTCCCCCACGATTCTCATCTCCCGGTATTCAAATCCCCGTGCAACTAGTACCCTACCACACTGAGTAGGGCCTGACCTGGGTAACCAAAAGGATACTGCAGACATGACTGAGAGTGACTTTGAGGCTAGGTCATAAAAGACTTTATAGTTTCTGCCTCGCTCTTTCTCTTAGATCCCCCATTCTGGGAGAATCTGCTGTGTTAGGAGGACCCTCAAGCCTCCCTATGGGGAAGTCCACATTGTCAGGATCAGCTTTCTGCCAAGAGTCTGCACTAATTTGCCAAATACGTGAATAAGTCACTGTGAAAGCAGATCCTCCAGCCCCAGTCAATCCTTCAGATGACCACAGCCCCAGCCAACCTCTTGACTGCAACCTCATGAGAGACCCTGAGCCAGAACTACCCAGCTAAGGGCCGGCCCGGTGGCACACTGGAGAGTGCGCCACTTGGGAGCGCGGCGGTGCTCCCGCCGAGGGTTCGAATCCCATGTGGAGACCGGTTCCCACTCACTGGCTGAGCGCGGTGCGGGCGCAACACCGAGAGTTGCGATCCCGTTGCCGGTCCCCGGTACGGGCGCGACACCGAGGGTTGCGATCCCATTACCAGTCAGTAAAAAAGACAAAAAGGAAAAAAAAATGAAATACCCAGCTAAGCCCCTTACAGATTCCTGACCACAGTAACTATGAGATAATAAACATGTGTTGTCATTTTAAATTTAGGGGTAATTTGTTACATAGCAACATATCACTAACACAGTTTATATATTTTTATATATATATATACACACACACACAATTACCCACATATACATATATACACATACACCTGAAGTCCATGGATGCTATTAATATGAAAGTATTTTAAGGCTGCATTTTCAGAGGGAAACCAGCAATACTCCCTTTACTTTTTCTGACTCCTTTATAGTTCTACAGACACCCTAAGGTGACTGGTAAAGAGAAGGGAGGTGCTGCTGCCCAAGCACACACGCTTTCTCACAGCAAGTGGTCGGACGCTAGCTGGCACTAATTTACCTGTTCAGAGTTGTATGCAAGACATGAAAAAGTGTATAAAGATAGTCACCAAAGGTTAGCAGTAGTTGTCCAGACAATGGGAATATATGTGATTTTTGCTTTTTTTTTCCTTTACACCATAATGGATTGTCTACATTTTTTACAATGAATACATACTACTTTTTTTAGCATTTTTTATTAGACAAACTTATAATAAAATTATTTTATTTATTTATTTATTTATTTTTGGTGGGGGAGCCATTTAAACTTTCCCCCAACCATGTGAAAAAACAACCATTCTTACCTGCCGAATGTTCTCAGTGTGGCCCCATCAGGAACTTGGCCAGCAGTGACCTCCCAGGGGAAGTAATAGATCCCAGGTTTGGGCAGCATCATTGGCTTTTGCAAGCAAACAGTTAAGATGGATTTCTGAGAAATTGCGGTTATCGTATAACTTCGTATAATGTATGCTATACGAAGTTATTACGGGAACATATGTGATTTTTGCTTTTTTTTTCCTTTACACCATAATGGATTGTCTACATTTTTTACAATGAATACATACTACTTTTTTTAGCATTTTTTATTAGACAAACTTATAATAAAATTATTTTATTTATTTATTTATTTATTTTTGGTGGGGGAGCCATTTAAACTTTCCCCCAACCATGTGAAAAAACAACCATTCTTACCTGCCGAATGTTCTCAGTGTGGCCCCATCAGGAACTTGGCCAGCAGTGACCTCCCAGGGGAAGTAATAGATCCCAGGTTTGGGCAGCATCATTGGCTTTTGCAAGCAAACAGTTAAGATGGATTTCTGAATATTCCTGGTAAACCGAGCAGACCACAAGATGGAGATTAGCAGATTATAATACCAGCAACATCTTGAAGACTAGTTCCACCGGATAGGGTTTTTAAATTAAAAGAAAATAATTTTATAGGCTATGCATTCACATATTTTTAAAAAACAAAATAATACAAAAAAGCTATGTGGGGAAATACTGTTCCCACCCCAATCTCTATGCAACCCATTTCCCCACAATCCCATAAAGCAGAGGTCTGTAAAGGAGCACACAGTAAATATTTTCAGCCTTGTGGGCTATACAACCTGTTACAACTACTCAACCCTGCCATTACAGTACAAAAGTAACCGTAGATAATACATAAACAAGTGTGGCTTGTTCTAATCAAATTTATTTACAAAAACATGGAAGAGCTGAATTTGGCCCATGCTCAAGTTTGCTAACCTTGCCCTAAAGTAAACCATTTTAATTAATTTTTATGTGTCCTTCCTTCTGGTGTTTCTTTCTTTTTTTTTTTAAAGATGACCGGTAAGGGGATCTTAACCCTTGACTTGGTGTTGTCAGTACCACGCTCTGTCAATGAGCCAATCGGCCATCCCTATATAGGGATCTGAACCCGTGGCCTTGGTGTTATCAGCACCACACTCTCCCAAGTGAGCCACGGGCCGACCCTCCTTCTGGTGTTTCTTTATGAAAATAAAAACAAATATAACAAGGTCAAGCATTCAGATCCCCAACTGGCCAGCTGCCAAAAAATACATACATGTATGTATATATTTATTTCCCCTCTCCCTTAAAAAGGAGGCGAGCAAACTACTGTTTTTTTAAGGTAAACTTTTTATACTAAAATAGCTTTAGATTTAATAAAAACTTGCAAAGATGGTACAGAGAACAACTGTACACAAAAACCAAGTTTCCCCTCTTTTTAACATCTTACATTAACATGGTACATTTCTCACAATCAATGAACTGGCATTGATATGTTATTATCAAGTCAACTCCATACTTTATTTGGATTTCATAAGTTTTTTCCTAATGTCCCTTTTGTGTTCCAGGGTCCCATGCACCGTGCCACATTACATTTAGTTGTCATGTCTCAGACTTCTCTGGGCTGTGAGAATTTCTCATATCTTTTTTATTTCTGATGACCTTGACAGTTTTGAGGTGTACTGGTCAGGGATTTGTAGAACAACCTTCAATTTGTGTATGTCTGATGTTTTTCTCATGGTAAGACTGGGGTTATGGGTTTTTGTTATAATCAAAAAGGGAGAGAGAAAACTGGTTAAATAACTTAGGCAGTGGAACACAGCAGGCTTTTTAAGAAGATGCATTCAATATGCATTCATATGGCAGATCTCCAAGATCTACATCAGGAAAAAAAGCAAAGAACAGGCCTGTAAATATATGTCCATCTGTGTGTGTGTGTGAGAGAGAGAGAAAGAAAAAACACTCCAAAAGGCCACGTGTAGAGAACTGAAGGGTAGGGGTGGGCTGGAGCCCACTCTGGGAGGAAGCACTCTGAAACTCTGATGGACTAAGGAAGCTTAGGAAAGGTTCGCCCTTTGGTTGAGGAGGAGCATTCCAACCAAGATATCTCTTCTTTTGGCTGACTGCCCTCTACGAGGGAAGAGACCCCTCAAAGACAGAGTAGGAGACACTACAATGGGAACAGAAAGGCACCCATGGAACACTGGCCACTGGCCCACATGATCAAAGACAAAAACATACACAACTGTTCAGGGATGACCGATCAAAGAAGAAATGAATGAAGTGACTATCATCCAACAGTCTTCATAGAAAACCATATGCTGAGCAGCCACCTGCCAAGAAGTGGAGCCACAGTAAGCTGCTCAGAATGGCAGCTCTGTTAGGGAGACCTGGCATATTTAATGAAATGAAAGGCAATATAAACAGACCAGAGAAATTACCTGTGTAGACACTCTTTAGAAGTGCTCCCCCCACTGCCTTTTTGGTAATGCCCCCAAATATTCTCTAATTTATCCATAATAATTTTGCCTATAATAAATTGCCTTGAAATTGTTAGACAAGTGGGGATTCAGGAATAACTGCTCAATGACAACAGAATCCTGAACGTAGGGCCGGCCTGTGGCTCGCTTGGGAGAGTGTGGGGCTGATAACACCAAGGCCACGGGTTCGGATCCCATATAGGGATGGCCGGTTTGCTCACTGGCTGAGCGTGGTGCTGACAACACCAAAGTCAAGGGTTAAGATCCCCTTACCGGTCATCTTTAAAAAAAAAAGAATCCTGAACGTAGGGCCGGCCTGTGGCTCGCTTGGGAGAGTGTGGGGCTGATAACACCAAAGCCACGGGGTCGGATCCCATATAGGGATGGCCGGTTTGCTCACTGGCTGAGCGTGGTGCTGACAACACCAAAGTCAAGGGTTAAGATCCCCTTACCGGTCATCTTTAAAAAAAAAAAGAATCCTGAACGTAACAGCCATCAACTCTTTCCTGATAGAACAAGCAAACTGAAATACGGACAAAGATAAATGGTAATTAAATAACTCTAAGATCCCTGCAGAAAACAGATGGCCCAGATTTAGTCCAGAAGTTTAATAGGAGTCTAACCTAGGATCTTGCACAATCAGTTTTATTATCCTCTGATGAAGAGGTCCTGAGGCAGTGCTGCAGGTAAAGTCCAGTGGACATTTCAGGACAGTGTGCAAAGAACAGGTTTGGCTTCTGTAGCTCAGGAGCAACTGGCCAAGGTTCAGCTACCTCCCATCCCCCTAAATGCAGGGATCCTCGGTTGCTGTGGCCAGGGAGCAGAGCTGGTTTTGTCACCAGAAATGAGACGGCCCCAATAACCTTTGGCATGATAGAGAAGCAAAAACCAAACAAAATAAAAAACAAAAAAGAACAAGAACAAAATCGCAGTGGTTCCTGTTTGTTTGGGATCATAGAAGATAATCCCATTCAGTACAGCAAAAAGCTGAAACTATAGAATCTTCACAGATAAGTACATTCATCACTAAATTCATGTTTATTTGTAAAATTATCATACAGTAGGATTAATTCCTTTGGGGGCACACACTTTCATAAATTTTAACTTCATTAATTTTTTAAAAATTCCAATTCTTTGTTAGCATATATTGCACAAGGAATCTTCAACATTAAAACTCAAGAAAGGGGCTGGCTGGTTAGCTCACCTAGTTAGAGCGCAGTGCTGATAACACCAAGGTCAAGGGTTCGGATCCCCATACTGGCCAGCCACACACACACAAAAAAACACCGCAAGATATACCAGGTGGGGGCCGGCCCGTGGCTCACTCGGTAGAGTGTGGTGCTGATAACACCAAGGTCAAGGGTTCGGATCCCCATACTGGCCAGCCACACACACACAAAAAAACACCGCAAGATATACCAGGTGGGGGCCGGCCCGTGGCTCACTCGGTAGAGT